TTTGTTGTTGTTTGTCTGGTAACTGCACAGATTAGACGTTAGTCAGCTATACGTTTCAAACTCTAAGGTACTAACATTTAGAAGGCGCTGAAATGAAAGATCACAGGGACACTTATGTACCCTCATCTGAAACAAACCCTTTATGAGACTGTTAGATATATTGTACAGTGAGCTCTAATAATAGGGACGTAGCGTCGACGTTTTAAGCTGCTATTTGTTTATCATCAGTGGGTTATATAGTAACTTCTGTATTTGCAGTTTTATTTGACCTGTTTAGTGTCAACTGGGAAATTATTTGGGCCAGTCCAGGGGGGTTACATATTCATATGATAGAATGGGTGAATGAGAGGGAAGCAGTCTAGTTCTGTACACAGTGTCTTTGTGAACAGGGCTTTAAGCCTGTGTGCTAATCTGTTGACAGTGGCAAGCACATGCTACCAAAGGCCGAGTAACAAGCCATAGGCTGTGGGTGGAATTACTGCAACAGAACAGTTGTTGTCCAGCCATTCATGTGTTATCCTGCTGGGGGAAATCCTCTGATAAAGTGTTAATTTTCACCTAGGCGACTGCTGTATCGATGCTGTTGTGCATTTGTGCTTTCTTTGCGCTCATCAGTAAGGTGATAAACAGATTTTGCCTTTGGATCTTCACCATCACAGGGTTCAGAGTGTATTACCACAGAAGAAAGTCAGCGACCTTGAAGCCACAACCCACCCCCACCCCCGGCCGTACATAGACATGGATGGCAGTAAACAAAAAAAGGATATATTTTGGAAATATTTCCTGTGAGTCTGAGGTGTGAACCCATTTTCTTCTCTATCCATTATAAACTTGTTATATAATCCACAAGAAATGCTATTGTAAGACCGACCAGTCAAACATGGAAGTGTCTAATATTGCAGAATTTGTGCATTGTTGTGTGAAACCGAGGTGTTATATCCAGGAGTTAAAAGAATCAAAGAAATACAAGTACATTCTTCTAGAACTGAGGTCTTAGGGCTTTGAAGGCACAGCAGGACCCTCACCCTCACTGAAAGCACCTCAACTGACTGCCCAAATGCATGCTGGGAATTCTTCTATCAGATGGAGAGAAGGTGGTGGACCGAGCACCTTATTTTTGTTTTGTTTCTCTCCAGCTGTGCCCACACTTTGTTGCAAAGAGCAGCATGCCATGCTTGTTCGACAGAAAAGTTGGCATATCTGTGCCATAACGTGACACTCAAAGCAAAAATCTGAGAAAGCGTTTTTTTTTGTTCTCACAGTTATGACTGATCTGCAAGCCCACAAAACTTCCTTTCATGCATACCGAAACTCTCTCACTGCTCAGTGGCGTATGACTGTTAGCAATGACAGAAGAGTACTGAGGAGCTCAGCACGGCATTATTGGTAAACATCAACTGCAGGGTTTCCCCAAATACCACTTTAAGTCATACCAAAGAGGCAGCCACAGATGTTGGTTATTCACTATGATATTTAAAGTCTTCTGCCTGCTGCCCTAACAGAAAAACAACAATGGCACCTGAAAAAAAAAAATCCCACAGCAGTGTTAAGAAGTAAAGTGAAAACTGACTTCACAGCCTTCATAAACACAACATGCAGCACACGGAGCTGTTATTTCTATAAATAGCGCTGGCTTCACGCACAACATATTGGCTAGTATAGCACACCGACAAGCACAAGCATCAGCCACAAGCTCTGAGCCTGTCACATGTGCCTGAGCATAACACACAAACAGCACAGACTCTGTGTCATATGCTTGCATGCACATGGAAATGTATTTTATCCTTCTTGATGTCACTTACCAGGGTGGGTTTGGTCACTGTTTTCAGTCTTATGTGATTTGCTTTCTTGTCTTTACTGGCAGGATGTGGTTAGACTTTTCTGTGTTCTGCTGTGTTGCTTTGGTAGAAGTAATTTTGTGCCCACGTGCCCATTAATCCAGTCAGTCTGACAGGAACAGTGACAGCAAAATTACCAGAAACAGAATGAACAATAGGTTGAAAAAAAAATGGATAGATGAATGGATTGATGGATGGTCTTTAAGGTCACCTTTCACTAAAACATAATGTGTTTTGGTTAATGTTACTGATGCTTGACTTTAATTGTGCAGAATGATTTGCAGTCACAGGACAAAATAAAATATGTGTGCCACGCTTTTCAGCATATTTAAACAACTAAACAGTCGTGCCTGCAAAAAAGTCATCAAAGAAAAAACTCACAAGCAAAAAATAAGCACACATATTTTTTACACTTTCAAATTGTAAATTGGGAGCTCCAGATTGACTCCCAATGAATATATCCTCCTTTGGGGTCGACAGGTGGACGCTATCTTATTTAAACCCTTTGACATGGAGGGTCTGATGTTTTCTCAGCTATTGAAGGGTGCACTGTCATGCCAAGATCTAAAGAGCTCTCTGGGGCCTTCAGACAAATGGTTGTGGATGTGTGTAACTCTGGTAAGGGATTTGAAAAGATTTCCACATTTTTGTGAAATAAGTAATTTCTCCGGAACGAACATCTTCTCCAAATAGATCTCAAACAACCGGCAGAGATTTTGACGTTAAAAGACGTTTCCAAGAACCTGGCCACAAGATCTTCATTTGCAACTGTAGAAGTCCATGCATGTACTATCAATAATACATGCACATATTTGAGCAGCATGTAAGGCAAACTAAGAAGGAAAAAAAACCCTTTGCTTTCCAAAAAGAACCGTATAACAAAGCCATGGTTTGCCAGTGAACATACTGGCAAAAACCAGGCCTATTGGAATAATGTGCTCTGGACAGTCTAATCAAAAGATTTAGCTGTTTGGCCACAGTAAAGGACATGTTTGGCAATGACCAAAGACAGCTTCTTTGGAAGAAGCTCCTCATGCCAACTGTGAAACGTGGCGATTGAAAAGTTATGATTTTGGTTTACTCCACAGTCTCTAATACTCGGCAGCTTGCAGTCATTGATTCAACTATGAAATTTGCATCATATCAAAGAGCGAAGCCATCTGTCCCAAAGTTTAAGTTGGAAGTGGACCTTACAACAAGATAACGATCCTTAATACACTGACAAATCTACAAGAGTGGTTCAAAAAAGAAGAAACGGAGGCTTACGGAATGACTTAATTAAAGCCCAGATTTGAATCCAACTGAAATGTTGTTGGGAAATCCAAAACACACAATGCATGTAAGAAAGAATGAAAAAACAAAAACAAACGTCTTGCAAGAGAAGGGAGTTTTGCATGGAAGAGTAAAAAATTGGAATTTGGTGGAATATTATGCAAGGAATCTTGCTACAGCGGACAAGGCAGCAGGATGGTGCAGTGGTTAATGCTGTTGACTCACAGCAAGGAGATTCCTGGCTTGAACCCAGCTGGGGTCTTTCTTTAAAGTTTTCATGTTCTTATGCATTTGGGGGTTTCCTCCAGGTACCAGGACTTCCCACAGCCAAAACACATATGTTTACATGTAATTGGTGGATTCAAATTGGTTGTGGCTGTGAGGCAGATGAAGTGTATGCGTGTACCTTGTAGTGTGCAGTGTGCTATAAATGCTGGTACATTTACAAGGGTGTAAATTTTTCCACAGACTGACATCTGCTAACATTTTTGTTTAGTAAAAGTTTGCAAAGCTATTATTGTGGCGTTAGAGCAGAACATGTTAAATCAAAGGTGATATATCGACCAGGATCAGATGTTTTCTTGTCTAAAAATATCAAAACAGCCATTTGTTTCCACATAAATGAAAGCATGTTCAGAGTTTGACACAATTTAAAATTATTCTTCTGAATATTACTAATTGCTCTATGTCGACCCAAACAGGCTAAGTTTAAGGTGTGGACCTACAAGCATTAAAAGGCAACCCATGCAATCGTTATGTAGAAACCTGAAGCCTGCCTTGCACAAGCACTGATAATGACATTTCAGTGAACCAGGAGACACCACGTCCTTGTCAGTAAACCTTTTAAAATCAAAGGAGAAGGTACAATGTCATAGTGATATTTGGCAACACACAAACTGCCATTCAACCTTTTTATTTCTTCATGACCAGATTGCTGCAATGTTCCTTTTATCAGATAATCAATCAGACAAAACACAGCGTAGACTTTATATTGCTTAAAATGCAGCAGCAAATGATAACTCTGTTAGTTGAAGCCTGGACTGACTGCCCATTTGTTTTAGAATTACTGTCTCTTTACTGCTAGTGAGCAGCCTGACATCCTCAGGCAGGAAACAGTTCCCACTTCACCGTGAAGGCAACAAAGCAACTGCAGAGCTCCTAAGTTTTGGGAACAACCTTTCTGAGGAAATTTGCCAAGTATCTTTTAATCTCTTTTAAACAATTATGGCTTCCTTTAAAATGTAACATTTTTATCCGAAACTGTTGAGTTTCTGTGTTATTTCTGAAGTTGCACTGTATTAAGGATTGTTATCATTTTCCTAGGAGTTAACACTTATGGTTTTTAATCTTCTTTTGATTTCCTTTTTTCCTGGAGAAATGACTATATTTGTGCATTTATTATTTGCTTTAGAAATAAAAATGAGTTTGTCTTTAAATACCCATAAGACATTTTTAAATACTGGAGGATTAATGAAATAACATGTACAAAAGGAAATGGCACTAACAAAGAAGAAACATATGAACATATAACAGAGGCAGCCATGTAAAATAGGCCTTACATGGTCTAAAAATATCACTGATATTATCATGCTGTCTAACAGATGGAGACATGCCCACCCATGGTAGTGCATGGCAGTGTCTCTAGGAGAGACGTAAGGACATGACCAAAAAAAGGTTGACAGCTATATGCTGCCCTCTGCTGGTGGGCAAAACTCAACAAACTAAATGTGATCATCAAAATACAGTTTATCTATTCTTGTGAACGATTTTCAAGTTTCAGCTTTTTGAATGTTGCGCGTCATGTGTGTAACAGCAGACAGTTAATGCAGGATATATATAGGAATTTGTGACCAAACAAAACAAAACAAAACAAGAAAAAGGAGACTTGAATTATTATATATTTATTGAACAATGTTAAGCATGATAGGGCTCTCCATGTAGGAACTCTAATAATATAGTATAAAAAATTAAAAAAGTACAAATAACAAAGACAAGACAAGGCATTGTAAACAACATCCAGAATAAGAGAAAAACCCCATCTTGATGGTAGTTTTTCTCAGAATAAAGTTTTATAAAACACGTTTTTCTAATCATAATTATTACTGTTGTAGTTGCAAAATTATGCCTCAAACAGAGACTGATCAGAAGAAATCCCAACTATTGGGATGTAGCATTTCTTTTCTTCCTTTAGGGTTTTCTTTTTTTTAGCGTATTCCAACACAAAACACTGAAAAAGTCCATATACTTGTATTCATGAAGTACAAAATATGAAATGTACAGATAAAATGTAACATAATAAAAGCAGGCCAAAAGGCCTTTTACAGTTAAAATGGCCACATATGATTCTTCAAGTTAGACTGAAATGCAAAAGTGATGACAGACGAGTGGCCGATCCGACCCCTAACCCATGCTGCCTTAGGCCTGGATTGTGCTACACAAAATAAACATCCCTGACTGAATGAGGTCAGAACAAGGGCGTGTATACTGGATGGAGTACGGTGGAAGTTGCTACATGTAAATTGTCAGCATATGTCCATTATGAAGTGCATGATATACTGAACCTAGAACATGGAGGTGGCGATACAGTTAAGTCCTTCAGAAGGCTTGACTGATGTCGTCAAGCCCGTTTAAGCTTGTCAATGTGGAAGGTGAGTTTGAGGGCAGGGCCGAGCTTCAAACCCATGTATTTCATCATCATGTCGCTACGCAGCAACAGAAGGGCTTTCCCATCAATTTCCTGTAGCAGAGGAATCAGAGGAAAAATAAACCTTTTTGTTTTTTCCTTTTTTAAACAGAGCTGCTCAAAAGTGATGAATAAAACTGACACGTTTGAAGCATTCACTATTCATTATACATTTATTCATGAATGAATGGATACGTACATGTTTTCTAAAAAGGTCAGCATGTGGGGCCAGAACTGGGTCGATATCCCTGATATACTGCATGACTTCATCTACTGTCCACAGGTTGGGATCCTGACCGCTGGGCCTGGGGCTCTCACGGAAACTACCCGGACCTGGGAGCAAATGTGCAAATACAGATTTATAAGACAGTTATTCACTGAGTAGTAAAAAGCCCAAAAAAACAAACATGTTTATCACTGTCCCAGTGCAGCGGTCTTTCGCACAGGCTCAACATCTGTTTTGACAATTGAGCTGAAATGATGGATCCTGAAAATGTAATGTACTCTTTTTTGACAAAACTCTATTAAACTTTTTGCATTCGTGTGATTATAAATTTCAGTGTGTTTTTGGGCTACCACTACAAGGGTATTATTTTAACTCAAACACACAGGCTGCACAGGCAAACAGCAGTGAATGGAGTGTCACTGTCTACTACACATATTTCACCTACTATAAGATAACACTCAAATGCCACCATCTCTTCTTTCAACTGCTCCCTTTAGAGATCGCCACAGTGGATCCTCTGTATCACCTTATCCTTATTATCCTCCTCTGTCACACCAACCCTCTGCATGTCCTCCTTCACTATATCCACAAATCTCCTCTGTGGTCTTCCTGTTTTCCTCCTGCATGGCAGCTTCATATTCAGCATCCTTTCTCCTTTACATCAACTATCCCTCCTCTGCTCATCTCCAAAATATCTCAGTTTTGAGTCCCTTATCTCCTTACTGCTCAACCTGAGCTTCCCCTCTGATGTACTCCATTCTAACTCCCAATGAAAAACCTTCGCATCTTCAATTCTGCCACCTCCAGCTCTGTCCTCTCTTTTTGTTAGAGACTTCAAACTGCTATTAGCATTTGAATTGGGTCTTTCCAGTGAAATAAAAGTGGCATGAGTGGCACAGAGGGTAAGAAAATGCACTACTGATATCTGGCAAAGTAGCAATTTAGCCACTGAAGAGGCAGTTTCTGACCAAACTCTTCTCATGACCTCTTGAATGGACCTATACCATAGTGTAAGAGCAGCTTAAGTGCTTATTAAGGGCAAAATGCTGCTATATAAATACCACTGCAGTCACTCGTTTGTTTGGTTTCACTGATTGTCATTTTAAGGCAAATGTGAAGAGCCACTAATTACATGGCAGTGATGTAATTGCACCCGATCCTCCATCAATGATATACTCGCTCATCCAGCTCAGAGTCCCTTAGAACTCTGAGGTTAAGGTAACAAGTGAAGTGTTACGTTTTCTTGTCCCTGTTTGGCTGTATTGCACAAACTAGTGAAAATTACAAAGATGACCTCGACTTGTGCACAGTTTTGATGAAGACTATTGGCGATCACTGTGTTTGACTGATGCTTCAGCACGAATACTGGTTCTTGTGAATTGTGAACTGACAGAAGACAATGAATGCCTCGGCATAATATGAGCTCATCTGTCATTAGGCAATATATGCTTTAAAAAACAAACAAACAACAAACTACAACATCAGAGGTCAAAGAACTACAATTGACTTCACTTCCTGTAATGCAGACACAAAAAGGGGGTAGTTCTAAACAAGTTTTACAAGATCTGCAGCACATTTCTACTGCGCTGAAGACATTTATGTATGTGTAAGTACAGATAAAGCAGAGAAAAATTTACATATGCACTATATGGATAACCTTGACCTTGAGAACCCATGCAATGAAGCTCTCGGTGCACTTTTTGTGCTGACATTAATGACAGAGGAGGTTTGGAACTCTGCATATAATTGACTGTTACACACATTGCTCCTAAGTCCTCAGTGATCCCGCTTGATAGCTTTACTTGTCCTGCCACTCTGAGGCTGTTCTTAAACATTTCACATTTTTTTTGCAATAACACCACTTACAACTGACAGAGGCATATCTAGCAGGGAGGCATCCTCTGACAGCACCACGCTTGACTTTAGTGAATAACCTTAGTTAAAACCAAACTTACTGGATTGCATGTCACTATATTAGCATTTGCAGAAGTAATACATTCACACTTTCAGATTTGTGGAAGCTTTTCATAGATACAATGTTGTTTCTTTTCCTACCTGTAGAGTTGTTATGATGCAGCAGTTTGGAGGAGGACCTCAGGCCAGAAGTCAGTCCTGTAGAGTTTTGGGAAAGGGGGCTCTTCTTTAAGTGCTCTGATGTGGCAACACTGTTCTCCATGAAGGACTCACCTGGGAACAAAGAACACAATTATACTAGTACCTAAAAAAAAAGAAGCAAAATAACAAAGAGGTCCCACAGCTAAACATCCAATGTAGTAAAAAAAAAGATAACAAGTAACAAAAAAGAGGCCCAACTGACAGCGTATTTGTCAGACACACTGTGCTTCGCAGTGATTTTGCAGAACCCCTCAGAGAATACCACGGTGATTTAACAGGGTTATGGCATTCTGTAAAAGTATAAGGGCACTTTGAAGGGGATATTACCCCTTTTACACATATATCTTCCAATATTACATTAACTTAATTAAAATTTAAGGAAATGGAAAGATGATTAAATGATTAACCTCTTGCCCCAGAATTTAATAGCATTCGCTCTTGAGCTCTGTTTAACTACCTCCTTTTAAATGATTACAGAAAGCTTTACTAGACAAGTCAGAGCACCCAGTTATTACAATTAAAATGTTTGACAGAAATATGATGCCGGATTCCACTTTGAATAGCCTCTGATACTAAATGAGCGGAATCCTTTGATGTCAGCTTATTTCCAGTTATTTTTGCACACAAATAAAAAACAAAGAAAAATATGATTAAAGGCATTTTACAAAAGAGAAATTTACCAGAGGCAGAACATACACACAGTCATGTGAGAAAGAAAGTTTTTGTTAACATACACCTGAATGCTACAGACAAGCAAACTGCTAAAACTTCTGCCTTCTTGCTGATGATCAATAAATCAAAGGCATTTGATTAGCAACACTTGGCTGCTACTTAGCCTCTTAATTCCTATGGATGCAGTCAGGCTCTCCTCTGAAAAGGCTCCCTCTTTTAATACACAACTGTATTTGGTACCACCGTTTAGTAAGTTAAAATGTTCAACAAAGTGTGTGCCCACAATAAAAACAAATAGGTTCACAAATAATTTTTTACTGATCAATCCTCCAAAGAAACAGCCTAATTCTTTATTAGAGTGCAAACAACTCCAAAAAATGTGGTGCTAACATTTTAAAGCACGACTTTAAAGCCTAATATGGCTCCCCCCCCCTTTTTTCCCCCCTGAATAGTTGATACTACTTGTGTATCTATTATTTTCCTTAATTTCTGTTTGTCACCATGATGAATGCTAACATTAAACGTGGTCAAACGTGGCCATGGCTTCACTTTGAACACATTGTTTCACACAGTTTTTTTGCACTCTTTGATACTTGTGATGTCAAAGAGAGGAGATCTTAATAGCACACGGCTCTGGCTTACTGTACACCAGCCCCATCGACCTGCTATTCAAACCTTTTATTTGTAAAAGGCAGTCGACTTACAGAAGAAATTTGGCTTAAAGGGACACAAGCTACAAGGGCTTGTCTGAGATAGTACAGCTCTGTAGTTGATCCACTAAGGGCCGGTATAGTCCAAATTCAAGAATAAAAGTATTGAGCAAATTAGCATGAGCCTCCTAAAGAGCGATAAAAACATAATAATCTAATCTAAAATCATAATGATAAATCATTAATCATATATATACACACACACACGCTGCTGTGAGGAAGCATGCACACTTGGTAACTATGCAGTGTGGTGGTCATTATTTAATGATCAACTTTATGTCAGTTGCAGTGCACACTGCAAACACCTCTATGCCTTATAAAGATCTCTCTCTCTATCTTTTTAAGAGATATATAATATATACAATAATATAAACAGTTTTGTAGACTACAAATTTACATCACATTGTTCATTTCAGGTAGCTTTACATTCAGCACTGGCACATTTCACCATTTAAGCATTGAGTTATAATGGGAAGAAAAACTGACACAAGGGGGAGCACCAATATTACTTTACAGCAGCCACACAGAAAAGAGATTTTTTTTAACCAGCCTCATGATCTGGTGATCAGCCAATGCCAGCCCAGTACTGAGCTGATCAGTTATTTTAAAATGCCATTTAATGATCTACCAATACATATGTCACCTGACTAATAATATCACAGACTTTCATGGATAGACTAATATATATATTTTCCCTAGCTCTAAATAAAAGCAAAACAAATTCTATATGAATGGTAGTATGAGTAATAAGAACAGATTATGAATGGATGAAACAGATTACCATCAGTGGAGTGCCGTGGGATTTTTGGCAGTTTCGGAGACAGAGGATTGGTGAAGTCCTGAAGGAACCGCTTTGTGCTTCGTACTGGGACCGCTTTCAGACTGTCTCCAAAACTTCTCCTCTCTAAAACAAGCACACATGGGTTGAAGAACAGCTGGAGGCTATTGTTCCATGTTAACTAAAAATCAAGAAGCTGGATGTGTAGCAAATAAGGATTCATTTTCTAGAAGCATATTGCCAACATCTCTGCATAAATAAGGCAGACGCATAATAGTCTGCTGTTTCCTCTCACCTAAACCACTTAGAAAACGGTCTAAACCAGTCGTTTCCTACTAAGCTTAGCATATTTTTCCACCTGACACAAGAGCCCAATGACTATTATAAAACTTTAGCTGCCTTTTCATTAAATGTAGCAAAAGTGAGCAGAGTCTTTGACACTGGTACTTTTCAATGTAAGAGCATGGTTCTAACAGCTATGTTAAAATAAATTAACACTGTACACGTGAACACAGAGTGGGCAAACAGCGACCCTGACCTGTAGTGTACGTGTGACTGTCGTAGTGAAGACCGCCTCTGGCTACAGGCTGGCTGCCAAACAAAGGATCGCAGTGCAGGTTGTGGCAAAGTTTTTCCAGGAAGCGGAGGACATAGGTGACACTGCTGACAGTTGGCAGGGTCAAGGTGTGCTGCTGCTGGTCAAAAAAGGCTGGAAAAGACATGGTGGATATTAATTCAGCTGCTTCATTCAAGTGTAATTCAATAAACAGGCTGTGTTACAGATGTGAGTGAGCTTTCATGAATAAACAAAATCCGACCCACACAATCTGTGTAACATAACTCAAACAACAACAATAGAATCAGCCAAGTGGTTTGTTTTATTTTTTCGTACTTTGTTGGTTCTTGATGTTCTCGTGGATAAGTGAGCATTGCCACAGTAAATTCATAAGCTTGCTTTCAAATTAGACCAATGCACACCTGAAATGACTTCTCCTCCTTGTCCAGATTTCAGGCAGGAGAAGACTGTGCCCTGGTTGTGAGCAGAGTCCACACAAGCTTGGACACACTGCTGAAGCACCGACGAGGCTCGGCCTGGCCCAAAGTGGTCTGGCAGCTGTTGGATACGCCGCTGGTCTAAATGGGGTCCCATCTTGCCGTACTTGTTTAGGTACACACAAACTAAAAGGCGAAAGGTATATGACCTTAAATGACACTGAATGAAAAAGTTGATGCAAAAAAACCTCAAAAAGCAATGTGCATTATGTGTAGGCCTGTGGACGCTGTGTGTACCTGTGGGAGCCTGTAGTGCAGAATTAGGGATGGTAGCATTGTCCAGGGGCACAGTGCTGGTGTCAGGCTCTGGGGTACTGCTGGTGGGAGACGTGGGGACTGGATTAGGTACCACTCGTGGTTTTCTCTGTATGCAAATACATAAATTCAGAGCCATCAGTACATATATTTAGAAAAGCAAATAAAAGAACTGAGCTAAGTACATTTCTGTAAATGGTAATGGAAAACTAAACAAACATACAAACCGGATGCTGCAAACACTACCAATGACTGAGCACTGTGGTTTTGCAACTGTTTGCGCTTAATAAATGGATACCAGCTCAGTCCATCTTACCCAAAAACAACTATATCGTTTATAAAGACATAAATATGATGAAACCAAGGCTTTTAAATTTTTTTTATAGCATGTATGTTACAAATGAGCAGGCATGTTTAACTAGCTAGGAAACTTATGATAACAGAAACAGGAACGGGCTTTGTCAGATCAGAGGGTTAACTAAGGCTACGTTCACACTGCAGGTCTTAATGCTCAATTCCGATTTTTTGATCAAATCCGATTTTTTTGTCTGCTCGTTCACACTACAAATAAAATGCGACAGCAAACGCGCTCTAGTGTGAACGCTCAAAGCGGCCCGCATGCGCAAAAGAAGACGTCACACACAACGCGCTCTGTTTAGACCCAGAGCAAACAATATGGTTTGACTGATGGCCTTAATATAAAGACTTCGGACTTTAAGTTTCCCAATTTTTGCTTTAAGTTATTTTGTTATTTGCAAATAACCTAATAATGATCCTTATTGCTGTTTTAGAGAGGAGCGGTGCTTCAAAGGATAGCTGCAGATTTCTGTCAGAATCTGCAGATTATACAGTACAAATAAAATGTTCATGTTTCTCCAACGTTGTCTTCCCAGCAGCTTCACTGGATGGCCAGGAAGCGTTCGCGATGTCTTCTCGGGCGCTTCTCCGGCGCTGATAATTGGCGTCTGTCTTGTGTCAGTGACGTAAAAGACGGATTTAATGCGACATGACCGTTCAAACAGCAGTCGCTTTCTAAAACATCGGATATGTATCGGATTCAGTACCACATCGGATTTGTGCCGTTCACACTGTCATACCATGATCGGATATGGGTCGCATAGGGTCAAAAAAAAAATCGGATTTGATGCGCTTTCGCCTGCAGTGTGAACGTAGCCTAACAGGTTCGTTTCTGGCTAAATAACTTAATAATCCAAATATAGTCAAAAAACACTGGACAAGCCTCCAATGATTTGCGCTCCAAGAATTATACTGCAGAAGTTTCCCTTTTCACATTTTCATCAGCATTTCTCAAGCAGGCAGCTGTTTATGTGACATGAAGTTGTCTAATGACAGCTGGGGTTCTTTTGTACTGGACAGTTACCTTGCTGCCAGGTTTCGGCCCTCTTTTCTTTGGGATCTTGATAGGTTCTGCCTGAGTCTGACCCTGCTGCAAAGTTATCCTCTGCGCCCAGTTGGCGGGCAGTCTGCCCCTGGTTCGCCCTGGGCCTGTCACGGGCCGCCCTGGCCCAGCCATGGAATCCTCTAGCCAGCTAGCTCTCTTTGCCCACCCCAGCTGCAAACAAAGAGCAAAGGACACACAGTCAAATAGGGATGCCTCTTTTTTTAATAATGCCCCTCAAACACAAAACAACTAATCTGGGATGCCATTGTGACCAGTCTCATAGTTTAATGTAAAGGTTGGTTAAAAATTCACTTACCCGTTACTTCTTTTATTAACAGGCTATAGAAATTCTTTCTACCACTTGGAATTGAATTGAAAGATTCAACAGCAACACGTTGTCTCAGAAACACTGTCCCTGCTACACCGGACAGAAACTATTTGTATACTATATGTAAGTGTCATAACTGCTTCACTATCACACAAAAGTAAAAAACTGTTTTTTCATGCCCACCTTACTGCCTGGTTTTGGTCCTCTCTTCTTGGGAATTTTGACGGGTTCCTGGATTTTTTCTGGCTGGATGCTCTGTGGTCCCAGTGTAGAGCCCTTCTGATTCCAGTGCCCTGTCACTTTGGTTTTCCTGCGGCCTGGCTTGCGTCCTCTCTGGCCTGGAGGCCTGCCCACCGTGGGGCTGGGATGCATGACTGGGCTCTCCACACTTCCGTCTGTCAATGCTCCAAGGCTTTTGGGCAGCACCACTGTAAGCGTAAAGGGAGAAAAGAAAATGGGAGAAGTTGAAAAGCTGCTTGGTATCGGCAGCAAAATTAATTAAGAGTTATTGCTCTGTGCCTCTCAGTTAGGTATTCACATCTTCCATATTCAGCCTACAATTTAGAAGTCTAAATCTAGAACGCCTTTTGTGGTTATGTTATGTGAACAACAAGGGCAACGTGTTCAGTCACAATCCTAAATCAACTTCACCAAACACCTGCTGTGCAATATGCACACAACATTGCCACATTGCAGAATGAGTCATGTGCTTGATGCATTCAAGTAGCCTTTGTGCTGTTGGCTGCAATGTCCTCACATGCTTCAAATTGAAGCCAAATAAGAAGCTGGCTGAGTCACGCACAGACATTAAGTACTCTCTGTGCATGGGGAAGGTACTTGGTTTTCTGATCTCTACTCTAAGACTTTCTGAAAAGCTAAAGGTAAAGCGTGTTATCTTCAATGGATGACAAAATCCAGATTGTTTACAACATCTGAACTTCTCTCAGTGGCACTAAAGCCAAGAAGGTCAAACTTTCTTAGCAACAAAATAGTTCTTTCTCAAACTATGTCCTTCAGTTATAAGCCCAAGGACACCACAGTGCAGTTCTCACACTCAAGCACTTTTTACAGTCTTAGGGAACAGGTAGCGAGCAAAAAAAAGAAGAAAAAGAGAAGAGTGGTCGCATCAAAAAGTTCCCTTTTTAAGACTAAATTTAAACTTTCAGTCATTTTTTTCCACACACAAACAAAATCAAAACTGCTGAGAAACTGACAGCAATTTGACTTTGCACTCTTTTCCAGTACGGCATCACCACTGAGTGGTAACCAAGCCTCTAATAACATTAAGCCACAGAAGAAGGAATACACACTCTTTTTGTTTGGTGCTCAAGGGCTGAGAAATTATTTTTGAACTGACTAATAAACAATCTACCAAAGATCCGGGTCATTCTTTGATCATGCCATAACTCTAAACCAAGTTCAATAAAATTCAGTGTGGCAGATTGCATAATTGTGTTGAAAGTCAAACAGAGACTTATTTTTAAATTTACATTTATTTTATATAAAGTATTTCCTGGGAAAATAACCAAGTCTGCAGATATGTTTAATAAAAGTGCTAATTCTGTTTATTAAACAAAATTATTTTCATTTCATTGGTGTAGTGGAGTAGTATTTGATATGCCTCAAAATCTGATCAGATACAAATGATCTCTTTAGGCAGATCCCACTAAAAGTACAGGCAAGTAAAGTATATGCATCAATTTGGTGTTACATCATATATAACATAATGAAATCACACAATCAGGCGTTATCTTTGTAAACTGTTATCCACTGTACCCCGCAAAATGAAGATCAAGAAAAAGCAAAAGAAAGACTAAAAGCTATCAGGTAGCAACTGAAAGAAGAAAAATAAGCAGTTGTTAAAGACAGAGGTTACGAAAGTTGGTTACCTCTTCTTCTACCTTTAAGACTCTGCTGGCCAGAAAAAAAACAAGAAGCAACATAGAAAAAGCACAAGAATTAAAACGCAAATGAAGAAGCAAGCTGCTGCAAAAATGTATCTCCAGAATATGAATACACGGCCCTTCACTCCTGAATGTGAAGCACTTCTGAAATCACGTAATCCCCAGAGAACAGGCGCATGTTAAAAACATTAACAGAGGGCCTCTACTAAACACAAGAAAACAACCAAGCAGTCCGTGTACTTTACATAAGCCATTACAGCTGGCAAAACTTCAAGAATGTGTGCATGCAAAAACAACCGCACAGAAAAACAGAGCCACAGTATAGTCTGAATATCTGGCTTCATATGCACCTGCGATTTAAAACACGCTTTCACACACACTGCACAACCTAAAGTGCGCTGGTATTCATCCTGGATCAGCTGGGGACAGATTTACGAGAGGAGCGGCCACATTCATTAACACAGGTCTTGGCCAGCGGGGCTGTATTTATTAAACACGTTCACACAAACAGACCAATCAATGCAACACACAGTCTGCAGGCTACTGCTACGTTTCACAGAGAAGTCACAGAGAAGCTAAAGAGAAAAAAAGAGGGAAGGAAAACAAACAAAAAAAAAAACAAGACAGCTGATTGATCCTAAACAGATTGAACAAATCCTAGATAATATGTTTAACGGTGTAAAGAGATTGAGGTTACAATCAATTGCACTGCTTGTAAATACAGCCAAGCAAGCGCTTAACAAGCAAACCCTTGTTTTTTTTCTTTATCCCATGAGTGCACTGAGTTCACCGAGTTCACAAAGCCACCACTACCAGCTTCATATTACAGCAACATAACTTCTTAAGCGCTTTTGATCTAACGCTCTATGGCTGCATTTCAGTAATTTCATTCATTTACTCACCGTCTGTCTCAAACGAAAGTCAAAAGTGTCTGATTGTCAGCACAGCTGTCCTCAAATTCACCCTCTCCTCCTGCCCTGTCCTCCTCTCCCACTCTTCCTCTGACTCCTCCTTTTCTCCCTTTTTCCTCCCTTCTCTTCTTTTCTCCTCCCACATGTACTGACAATGTAAACAATCCACTTTTCACAGCATATGTCTGTCCTTTCTCTTGATTTCTGCCTCTTTAATCTTTCCAAGGTGTCTAATCAGACTTCGACAGCCAGTGTGCCAATGAGAGGCCTGTGGAGGGGCACACAGACTCATTTCACTCGCGTCATGCCCTGATTCTGCTAACTGGGCAAGTGCCAGGCCTACATAAAACACTAGCAGGCTACAAAGACATATCCTCCATTTCCCTCCCTCAATCGGCTCCTTCACATATTGTGGATTCTACACACGAGGACAGCTGACCCTGTGGCTGATAACCCTTGTAAGCAACTTCTACCTTCTGTGGTTCTTCTGTAACACATTTCCAGCTTTGAGTCTGGCTTTTATTCCTGATGTTAAACAAGTTAAGACAGCTACAATGTCTGAAATATAACTGCTTTACAAGAGCAATGATTTTTTACCACAAGTCACAAAGGAAGCAATATATCACAAAGAACTGCTGCATTGTAAACAGTCTTCTAAAAGAGAAGTAAAAACCGCAGGCATGCCTACTTCAACATTTACAAACCAAACTGAATACAAATAGACACTGAGAGCCCACTTTGGACTTAAAAAACCCCATGCAAATAGGAAGGAAATTTTTAACAACACTTTAACCATATGCAGTGTAAATGTGGACATACAGCAGATGGACAAAATAAAAGCAGAAATCTCATAGTGTAGTGAAATCTAATCCATGAGTCAGGAATAAATAATGCCTTTATCAGGAGTTATAATTTTTTTCCAGACTTAGTTCATCAACACATCTGTGGCTAAGTTGATATATATAATTATAATTTCTGCACATAAAAAAACCTTTTAAAGTAAAATAATGCAATTTGAACACCCAGCCGTGATTATTTTCATTTTATTTTGGAATTACAATTTTGGTGTTACAATGCAAAGATAATCAGGATGACAGAGAAAGAACCTCTAAGGAAGTAAAAGCCGTTTTTGGAGTAGAGCCGACAAAAGCTTTGTCTGCCGTCATTCTCCAAAGCTTCTGTGCAATCCCTAGAGGCCCCATCTGTACCCGTCAACCTCACATGCACCAGGTAGGGACTAGCAGTTGCTCTTGCATGACAAGCTTTGCAGTCAAAAACACCCTTTAGTCCAGGACCAGGGCTGCCCATTCGATAACTAATTTTAATCTTGATTGTGACGTTAGCTTCCCACATGTAAATGGACATTAACCAAGAAAGAAAGCAGCAAATGCTGTACAACACAACTATATTATTCAACCACCTGAAAACAAGACAAACTGCAGTATAATTAATGCATGAAGGACTAGAGAAACAATGCAATGATTATTAAAATCAATCATCCAACATCAGACAGCACATGCGTACTAGGTGTCACTAAGATGCACTAGAATCACTGACACTGTCTCCAAAGATATGTGTCCAAAATATGTGGCGAGTAGAGAAAGGTTTCAGGAAAATAGTCAAATTACTGGACAAAAGACATATTATCAAAGTGAAAATACCTGCATTATGTGTAAAACATTACAAGGGAAATTTAGAGGAACACAAGGCTACTGAGTACTATGAGTTTTATTCACATCCATTTTGTAGATACAATGAAAGGAGTGATAGACTTTATATTTAGTTTCTAGGAAGTGCACTTTGATCAGGTAAAAAAAAAACCCCAGAACCTATTTCAAAACCTTATTTAATTAAAATTAAATAATTTAATCTGCAACCCTACAGGAAATGATACTAGAAAATAGGGCTGGGCGATATGGCCTAAAATCCATATCGCGATATAATTTGAAGCACGTGCGGTAACGATATATATCGCGATATATTCTTTTCTTCTGTATAACGTATTTTCCACACTATAAGGCACACTTAAAATCCTTTAATTTTCTCAAAAATCGAGAGTGTGCGTATGAATTCTGGTTGTGCTTACTGACCTCGAACTGATTTGGGCGTGCAGAAATCTGTTAAAAATGTTTTAGTGCAACTTTGGTAAGCCGCACTGCTTGATGGATTGTCAGAGCATTACAGCTGCCGTAGTGAGGAGCTTCACGGAGTAATCTGGGTTCAAAACTCTGTCCATTTCAGGTCCCAAAGTCAAACGAACACTGAGAGTTAAAAACAGTCTAAATTCTTTCACCTTTAATAAAATCATCAGCATTGCTGCTTTACCAAGTGTAACAATTAAGTTTAACATCCAAGCATTCATGAAAACAGAATTTATTAAATTTAACGGAGTTACAAGTTAACAGGAAGTTAGCTTGCTAGTTTCCACCTAAACATTTCATACCATGTTCTGACTGAGAGATTTCTAAAACTAATTAAAACGTACAGCTCTGCTACCACTTCCAACATAAATGAAGAGACAAAACTAAACAGCAGTGGCGTTTGCAGGGTTACTGAAGTTGGACTATCTGGTATATAATGTTTTGCTACGTGATTGCTAGCGACACAGCTATGTTAGCATAACATTAGCACAGTGAGGCTGGAGGATGAACGTCAACTTTTTTTCCACTCGATAAAAGTTAACGTGAGGGATTCTGGTGGTCAGGGACAAATGCAATCGCATAGCAGGATGCTATACACGGGCCAAACTTCAGTCAGGAGAACAACTGAGAATAATAGGTTAGTTATTAATATACTGCAACAACATGGGAATAGAGCAGCTGCGAGAGAATTCAACATTAATAAATCAATGTTACGGAAGTGGAGGAAGCGCAGTTTTTGGCTTTCCCCATATTTCAAAAGTGCTTCATCTCTTTGCTATGACTGTCGCCCGCCATAATTTGCAGATGATAATGGTTGTAGCCGCTGCAATGCTTTCGACCAAAACAGGCACAGCTTGATGACATCATCAACATGCACTATCGCGGTAGAATCTCTATCTCTATCGTTGGCCAAATTTATATAGTTTCTATCGTATATCGTTTATATCGCCCACCCCTACTAGAAAATAGGAATTTTAAATATCACATTATAGCTTGCATCCAAATTTCATGTCCCATTTGAGTGCTGATCTCACTTTTATATTTCACATCTACCTTTCTTTCAGGTTAAACCCCAAAATGCACTATTTTCACTGTGCCACAAACTTAAGGTACACTTAAAAACAACAAAGAAAACAAAATGAATATATACAAAATACAATATTATTTCCTAAATAATAACTAAATAATACCCAGAGAGTGAGCTGCCTTGGCGGAGGATTGCACTCTCAAAGTGTTGCTTGCTTTTTTATTTTTTTTATTTCTTCTAATAGCTGCACTTATTTATATGAATGAGCAGGACCAAATTTTTTTAATTAATGCAAAAAAGTTTACATTAGCAGCAATGCATGACAGCATGAATGTGAAGGCAGTGTTATATTTGCATGAAAGTGCTATAAAACATTTCTGTCACAAAAAAATATTAATGAATTACTGTAATTTTAATATCAATCAATATCACAGGGATTGCTGTTTTAGTCATAATTGCGCAGTTCTAGCCATGAATCCGATATAGTGTATTTTATCATCAATAAAACTGTTTTTTTTAATATCTTTGTATTAGTTCATACTCAAGTTTTAAAAAACCAAACACTAAAGCTCTTCTGTTATACCTGTATGCAAAAAATACACTGCACCCCAAAGATTTCATAGTTCAGCAATACTGATCAATCTAATAAACTTAAACCTGCACCGTCCTCCCTATTCTGGTATTTTAAAGAGTACTTAGAGGAAATATTAAACAACCTAACTAATAGGGTTGCCAACTCCCAGCAAAAAAATAGGGAACCAAAATACAAAATACAGAGAAAGTCAAACTCAAGTTATATACACTCTTAGCTGTCACCGTATTTATGAGGTTCATACCTTTCGTGCCAGGTGGCTGAAGATTGTCTCCAGTGAGGGCGCACCAGCCAACAGGGAAGATGTCCCTTGAGTCATAGCGGCAGTAGTAATCAAAGGCTCCTCGCCAGCCATCAAAGGTGACCAGCACCTCAACACCACGCAATGCACCTACTGTCGCTGGGCAGATAAAGTGGGGATTTTTCCGGTCTACAGCCTCCAGCTTCATCCCCACTTGGAAGGAGTTCTGCTCTGGGGCGGGAGGCTCCTGCTGGGGAATATGGAGTGAAAGAAAAGGGTCAGATATGGTAGTTATCAAACAGTCAAACCATGTGATAGATGTTCTTATTGTGTCATACATCAGAAGAGTTGGCCATCTTTGTGAATGCTGAGCTTTTTGAGCTTGTGAGCCTTGTACAGGTACCTTGTGAAAGATGCGAGAGGGAGCCATCTCTGCTCCATTTAGTGTTTTCAGAAGGAACATGGGCCAGGAGGACGCATTGAGTCGAAAACCTGAATAAGGACACAAATATTCTCATTACGACACCAGCTTCAAAATGAAAAGGTTGAATCACCATGAATCAAACAATGAATCATGAAATTATTAATTAAATTAAGCAAGAGTGAAAAGAATCATTCATTATGATCAAGGATAATCACTACGAAAGTAGTAGGCAGTGTTAATTTTGACAGCAAATTTTGATTCAGTTTTAGTCATGGTCTTTTAACTAAAACATCATTTAGTTTTAGTCCTATTTATGCATCTAAAGTCATTTAGTTTAAGTCAACCACATATTAAAAGAGTACCATAGACTAAATCTGAAGTTGGTTCAGTTGACTAAAATATAAAGTGTAAAAGTTTGCCCATGTTCTTAACCGCTCAAAGTTGCTCCACACACTGATTTTTAAAGGAGAATTTAAAAAAGTGAATTGTTTTACTCCTCTCTTCTTTCCTCACTTTGACATTTTGTTTCTTTCATGAGACTCATGGAGCACGGGATTCTCCCCACCCACCCACACGTCTGGGTTTGCTATCCTCGGGACATCCCATATGCACAATGCTTTCCCTAGCTGCTTACCATAACCCTAACCAACAAAAATGAATGCCTAACCCTTACCCTAAACTTAACCATAATCCAAATGTAACCCTGACACTAAAACCACATTTTGAGTGTGAAAAATGCCTTTAATCCCGTAGGGACCTGGATTTTGGTCCACATGAGGGCTGTTGGTCCCCACCAGTATAGTAAATTTCAGATTTCGGTCCGCACCAAGACAGTAAGAACCCGCACACCAGACCTCTGTCCACTAATACTGCCTACGGTATTAGTCCCTGTCCTCTTCCTATGTTTCCACTGACACACACTGTTGGCACACTGTGGCGAGATACGCATGACAAAGTCTCTCTTTATTAAATTGGCAAAGAGTGTCGTAGTGCTTTTGGAGTTCTTGAATGTGTGTGGGTTAGGGTTCAGGATTAAGAAAGAGAGAGACAGACAGACACACACACACACACACAAGCCCGTTCAGCTTTCTTAGTGAGGACCTTCATTGACATAATGGTTTCCCTAGCCCCTTACACTAACCCTAACCATTAAAAATGAATGCCTAACCCTAACCATTACTCTAAACCCAACCATAACCTAATTGTAACCCTGACACTAAAACCACATTTTGAGCCTCAAAAAGGCCTTCAAACTTGTGAGGACTGGTGAATGTGTCCTCACAAGTGACTGTTGGTTCTCACAAGTACAGTAGAACGCAGATTTCGGTCCTCACAAAGGTAGCTAGACAGGAAAATCTAGAATCTAGATCGACTCAGAAGAAAATCACTTCTGATTGGATCACTTCCAAACTAGTCCCGCCTATCTACACATCTTAATTAGCCCTGATTGGATCTTGTCTCTTGTCTCTCCAAAGTGTCAATACATGTCATCATAGTTTTGGTCCTCATGCATTAGTTTTTAGTTATCTTCTTGTTTTGGGGGGGAAAACAGTCATTGATGAAAACTGTCTCTAAGCTCTTTTTAATTCATCATAATTCGACTCCATTTCTGCTCTGCCACTTTCTCAGAGCAGAGATAACAGTAGAGTTTGTGAAGTTAATTCATGATTGTGTGAAAATGCAAAGATGCTCATGTGTGGTTGTGCTTGTGTCCTCACCAAGTGGTGGCTGCAGCATGCCTCCGTTTTTTTCACAGCTGCCGATAGGCTGGATCTCTGAGGAATCCACCAGACGCCAGAAGTCGTTTTTGTTGTCAGACCCATCCAGGCGCAGCCGCAGCCGCGAACCCGTCAAGCCCACCACTGTGGCGATGCAGGTAGACGTGGTGTTTCGCGGGTCCTGAGCCTCCAGTTTCATGCCTGCCTTGAACTCGTTTACGGGAGTTGTTAGGCTCTGGACAGTGATGATAGTAAAAATATGGAGAAAAAAAAAGAAAAAGGAATGAAGACCTATAAAAATGACACTTTGCAATCAGCCATGAATCTACATACCTGTCTGAAACATGAGGCAGGGGCAGCAATAGTGTCTGTCTCTTTCAGGTATTTCTCCCAACTGAAGTGCCCTGCAGAATAACAGGAAACTTTAATACATCCTTTTCCAGTCACACACACTGCCACATTTGTTACATTGTATGTACAAGATTTACATTTATACCTTGACAAAACAAGCAAACAAAACACACAAAAAAATCTCTCTCTCTCTCTCTCTCATATATATATATGTAACAAATTGTCTGAATAGTTAATAAAAAATACTGAGAAAAAACAGTATCACATTATCACATTGTCTTTGCTTACATTTGGTGAACAATTACTTCATCTACCATTGCGTTATATACCTTGGTACTGTGAGGGCACGCGGGAAGGCCGTCCACTCCTAGCATGCTTAATCCTTCGGGCATCTTTCCACTCTATCGCTAGAAGAGCCAAGAAAGGCAAGAAAATCCTTTAACTATGGGTAATCTTCTCATCAGTCAACACGTTGCAATACCTGGCAAATATCACTGCTCCAGGCAATGTCAGGAATTAGAGGACTATTACAACATAACATACATTTTCAGGGCATAAAAGATGACACGCTACATATTTCTAGCTTCACCTACAATCTAGAAATAATACAACATGTTAAAAATATATTAATCATAAAACAAACTCACCTTTTTGTGGTACAGGTTTCCTCATGCTCCAACAATACTGACCAACTAACAAAACAAAAGTGGCCTCCACTGTAAAGGCAATAAAACACACAAAAACTGAGTTAAAGCTTAGTCACGCATGTTTGTGGCAATTTTTTCCTTTATCGATTTAAAAATAGAGTCACATTCGAAACATTAACACACACACACACACACACACACACACACACACACACACACACACACACACAAAATATCACCTTGAAGTCTGGAGACAGTTGGGCATAAAGCAGCTAACATGATGCTTTTGATACAACACTGCAGCATCAAACTTCAATAAATCCATTTACACACGTTGGATTTGAAATTTTCAGCCAGTTTAAATGGAACTGTGTTATTCTAGTGTCTTTACCTCACAAAAGAAACACCTTGAGGCAAGTGAACTAGTTTACAAGCACTGTGAAAAAATATATTGTTTTTAACCTGTTAACTTGAGTTTCATTTTCTCAAGTGCAACATTTTGTTTCTGAAATGACCAGAAATAAACAGGAAATTCCGGGATTTCTCTTCAGTAAGGAAAAACAGACTTGTAGCATTTACTGCGCACCACTCTATTAAGCATAGACATTCCCCAAAAAACTAAATTATACTAACAGATGGCGGAATATTTCTAAAATCATAGATAATTAAGGCCATCAAAATGCACAACTCTTAATTTACATCACTGACAAAGAACCAATCACACTAATATATTCTATAATATATTCTTGAGGCCAAAGGCTCAGCTACTACATATAAAATGTACTATTGTTATTCAAAGGCAACAGAGAACTGGAGACTTTACTAAAGCTTACTTGTCTTCTCAGGGGTTCATCACAAAGATCAAAAGTGCACTGCATGTGGACTTGTGGAGTTTTTCACATGTTACACATACATTGTGAGATCGTAATGAATAACTTTCTTGAGATATTGACTGCTTATGTAAGAGATTTATCCAAAAAAATGACACCGGTCTCTCAGTTAAAGCAGCAGAAATAGCACCCAGGGATGACTTTCTATTCAACTTTGATCAAATAATTTAATAATTAATTTAAAAAAAAACAACTAGTATTGATTACAGAAAATTGGTTTATTGCCCATAACATAAAGCATACTGTCTTGAATGCTCATGAATGTCTCGCCGTCTGTCAGCAGGCCAAGGTTACGGCAAGAGCAACATGTTTTAAGGCTCAGTGACCCCCGTTACCTAACCCCGGCTCACAAACACTACAAACCAGACACAACACACAGGTCAGCAGGTCAACGGATATAAACAAGTGCTTCAAGTGGCTGCTTCTGCAGTTTCCCCACACCCCACTGCGACATTTATTACCACAAAGTAATTAAACAAGCCCGATATTTAAGTAGTTTTAGCCAGAAATGTGAGGACGTTAGTAACAGTCGCAACGCAGATGTTAACCATCTGCCAAACATTTGAATTTGCTGAGGAAAAATATTCCCGCTTTATTATGAGGGCTGTTATAAATTAACCGAGCTTGCGTGGAAAATGTAAAAGAGCAAAGGCAGAGCATCCACAGTGTCGCTTAAACCCGATATGGGCTGTTCATATTATAAACGCGCCTACCTTATAACTTCATAACCGTTTTGCTGCGTTTCTCCTTATCGGATGAGCTCCTTTTCAATAGAAGTGCGCCTTTTTCCGCCGCCAAAGGGGGGACGGCTCCCAAATTAAAGCGACCGGCTCCCTGTTTTTCGGGCTGAAAAAAGTGACAGGAGGACTGGCATCAGTGATCGGCAGCAGCACATCCCTCCTGTTGCAAACTCCAGGGAGTAACAGTTGTTTCACACATAAATGGAGCTCCTAACTTTATATTCAGAAACAAAACATCACCGGCTACGTTGGAGAAATTTACTGAGCTTCATTCAAAACACAAAGCCAGCACATGGGACCCTCTTCCCCGCCCTCTCCTACGCTTTATTTCCATGAATACTCATTTACATGACAGCAGCGTTAACTGTATTAATCAGGAGTTTAACAGCAACCCCTGCTGCACAAACCTCTCCAAACACCACTGAATGAAAGTCAAACATGCATGAAGCCAGTGCAGACATCTCATCCAGCAGCTATGCTACGCACGGCTTCACAGACATGCCCACGGATTTAGCGTGCTAGCTTAGCATGCTAGGTGGCACGCTAGTTCGGCGACCTGATTATAAATATTAGCATTAGCAAAACGGGAGCGTACCAGCACTGTGAGGTTAGTTAGCGGTCATTTCGGCTCAGCGCTGAAGTCGAGCCTTAACGGAGATGCCGCTCGGTGTATCCGAGGATGTTTACCTTGCTTTGTAACGTGTGTATTTGTTTCTAGCGCTTTTGTGGGTCCGCCATTTTTTTCCCTACACGATGAGGAGGGGTGTTTTGCCAACATTTCTTGTCTGGCAGACAGTCCGGCAGACGGGCAAGTCGAGCTAATGATGGGGAAACGGCACAACAGTGACCCCTAGCGGCAAAAGCTGGTATTTATTTATTTATTTATTTATTTATTTTAAATGCAGTGGAAAGGTTTTATAATAATAATAATAATAATAATAATAATAATTATAATAATAATAATTATTATTATTATTATTATTATTATTATTATTATTTTACATACTTATATGTTACAGATCATCAAACCGATTTCACTCAAATAAAACCTGTCGCATAAAGTGAACTAGGCTTAAAGGTTGCACTAAGTAACACATCATGCTAAAATCTTAATAAAACAGTTGCAAAACAAAGTCACTGCTCATCTATCAGTCTGGAAAGGGTTTTAAATATATTTCCAAGGCTTTGGGATTCCAGCAAACCATGTTTAGAGCCAATTTCGCAGGCCTGCCAAAATTACTCCAAGAGTGTATTTGTATTCAGTAAGTATTTACACTACAATGACACTTATCATGCGGATTTTTTTTTAAATTGTGAATTTTCCTGTTTTCCTGTGTGTGGATGAATTTTAGTACTAAATAAAATGACAAATGTTCATCAACCATAGGCACCTGGAAACACTCGCATCTCTATAACACCCTTTATTTATTGTTTTTGAATGTAATTAATTGTTCAAATTTTAGAAATACATTAACGCCAAACATAACTCTTTCTAAAATATAGTTTTGGATGTGCATAGTCCTACCTAGTATGGCTACTGTAGGACAAACATGTTTTAGTCAACAAAGAGTGATCAAAAAAATTAAATTTAGACTGCAGCCCACAATGACTCCTACTGGCTGGTGTGTTTCTGCTAGTATTTGGACTGGATCCGGTTGCACCCAGAAGCATTTCCCAACCTGTGGGAGGCTGTCAGTCCACTGTTTACCTCAGCTGTCAATGTCAACTTAGGACCACCTTTATTTACTCTGGAAGAAGCCAGATATGGTTATACTGAGGTGAGTTGTCTAGGATATGCTAAACTGTTGGTTAGCTGTTGTTTTTGTCGCTGTTAGGTATTGCTAACCTCTGATAGCTGCTGTTAACTGACTTTAGTGAAACTGTATTTGAAATGGATGAGAAATGTGAGAATGTAATCAAACTGTTTATTATTAATGTGTTTTTTAGGACTCCCCAGCCTAACATTAGCTAGCATAATGTTAGCTTATAAGTAGCTGTTGCTGCTGTTTAGCTTGCTCTTTTCACCTGTCTGGATTGCATGTCTAATCACCTGACACCTGACAATAAGTAATTGCAACAATATCTAGAATAAATAAGCATATTTATGTACATTTGCTTAGAGCCCTGAGTTAAATTCATTAGAGGAGGCGTAAGTTCAGACAGAAGAGACATTTTATTAAGATGCTGGTGGTTGTCTCTTTCCTTTACATTTTTGTTCCTTTGGTGAAGGTATGTTGGTGAAGGGGTATGAACATAATACATAATATTCTTAATACATACATAATGCATTTTATACATAATACATAAAAAATAGATATGAACCTTCATATTTTGAGTCTGAAGGCGCAGGGACAAATTTAAATGTCCCTTTATGGCACGCTTGTGACTGCTCCTCTTCTCTGTTTTGATGTACTATGGGGCAAAGGCCATTAGTACATCGTGGGGGAACATGGCTGCTTCCACAAACTACAAATCTGCTTCTGTGTATTTTTAACAGGATTAATATGGTTATGAGAATACATCAGTTTGTTGGAAAATGTAATTACATATAATTCTATGTATATTTAGAAGTACAGTTGTTCTTTTAAATAACCTCAAACTAATACTGTCTGTACTTTTAATGATTTATTGGTCAGAAATTTGCACAAAGTTAGAAACTATGATTAATACAAGTGTGGTATGCATTGTCAAAATATAGAAAGTTATATATAATGATTCAACATATATCACATTTGACTTCTGAAAAAAACAAAATACAATACTACAATACTATTCAATACTATTCCCTTAAATGTAAACACTGCCTAGAGCGAGAGAGCTGCCTTGGTGGAGGTTTGCGCTCTTGAAGTACTTCTTGTTAATTATTGTGATAATTAATTGATCACAAGAATATTAAAAGAAGACAAATAGGAGTAGAAAATCTTTTTGCTTCAGTACAGAGAAATGATCTAGTTTTGGGTGTTTGACTAAAGATGTGCGGTATTTGTCTTGAGCATAAAATGAATAAAATTTAATTATCAAAGCACGCAAAGCTTGCTTAATAACCACTATTTGTTCCAGTTGAGATTATTATGACACTATGAAGATAACTGTGGCAGCATATAAAACTAAATAGAGGATTTTTTTTGTCTAAGCAGTAAAATCCACATTCTTCCACAACGAAATCGGAGCAAAACATAACAGAAGTGCAGTACTGTACCAAACATTCTAACACAATATGTATAAAGAAATTCTAGGCAAATTGTGTAGATGTCAGAATTAGAAATAGAAGCTATTTGGTAATGCCATACCAATTAGGTCTGGGTAGCAACTGTAACCATGCGATTAAGAGAAACACCCAGCAGTTCAATTGTGTGTAATGGTCACCTGGCAGTACTGCTAATGCCCATTTCAGCCTACGCTGGGCAGGCCATGCCCCAGTGGCCCCCTGCACCCCAGGCAATTATGTTTGGTTTCACACGGTGAAAAGGGTTAATTGGCAGCGCCCACGTGCCTGATTGGACCTGTTTCACGCTTGTCAGCCTTCATCGCATCAAAGACAGCCCCAGTCTACTAGGCACCATTATTAGAACACGCAGAAACACACATGCATGTACTGGCGCATGGACATGCACTGTACGCAATCTGCACACACAGAGACAGAAACGCACTCAGACAGAAATTCTGGACTGCTGTTCTCCATGTCCATGCATGTTGTCTGCATTTAGACAATATGCAAATCACTTGCAGGATGATCCTCACCACTATCACTAGGGGTCAGTGTTGTTTTATACAAGGCAGGGGCAAATAATTCTATCAGAGGGAAGCTCTCATCGCATCATAATGTAACCTGGCTTTCCTCTGGCCACTGGATTTTACAGCTTATCTTTGCCACTCACTATCATTTAAAATCTCATTAAAATTTATTCTGATTGTGCATTTTTATTTTCCTTTAAAAAAATTATTAGTAGTTAAAATATTTTGGTTTGGTTTTCTTTTCCAATAGCTATTCATTACATATACTTCAAATCTCACATTCTAACTTCTCTGGCTGTCTTGTAGTATTGTCAGGCCATGTCTACTGTAAACTGAGTTCTTTTCTCTGCCATGTGGTTTTACGGTTTTTATTTTTTTTAATAAGGCTTCACCCACTGAGCCACTGGGAAGTCTATGAAAACCCATCAGCCATTATACAAGCTAGTTTGACTGGCAAATAACAACAGTGACAATGTGTCCCACTGAACAGTCGGCTTTCTATAAATAACCC